TGCAGGAAGCCTTCTGCCGGACAGGCAGGGGATGTGCTGCAATGGCCAGCTGGCCACAAAGCTGTTGACTCAAACTGGAATGCTGGCATTGGATGGGGGACTCCCTCAGAGGTTGGGGAGCTGCTGGTAGTTTAGGGATCCCCAGCTCACCTGCGCCAGGGAGCACACCGCCTGGGAAAGCTCCAGGAATCCCAGCACCTGCCAGGCAAGAGAAAGGCAGGAATGGAGCACCCATCAAGAGCCATTCCCCGTCGGCACCCAGCTCTGGGGCCATGCACCTACCTGGTACTTTGGGGGGTTTCCCTGCTGCGCCAACTCCGGGCTGCACCCCACCAGGTACCACTGCACCTGCAGGCAGCAGACATGCCCTGAGCCCCTCACTGGCTCCTGCCCACCCTGGCAGGCATGAGTACAGGTCTGCCCCAGGCTCAGCTATGCTTGGGATGAGGGGTGTTTCCTTACCTGTAGAGACCCCGAGGCCACCAAGACCACCAGCTCCAGGCACACCACCAATGCCAGCACCTGGGGACATTGGGAAAAGGAATGAATCAGTGTGAGATGCCACTGCTGGGCTAGGGGTGGCTGGAGTGGTGCCAAAGGAAGGGACAAGCTCAGGACAGCTCTTGGGAGACAAAAGGGACACCCTGAGGTAGTACCATGGATGAGTCCCCCAGAGCTGGGCACAGGGACCCAGTGGCTTGGTGGTCTCCATTCCCTGGGGCTTGGGTTTGGCCAATACGCCTTTCCCAGCACACCAAGACATACAGGGTGCCTCTGAACTGTCAGGGATCTCCACAAGACCAGATTGCATCCCCCCAGCTCCATGGGGAAAGCTTTTCCAACCCAGGATCCTAGGGGATACCAGGAGCCACAGTGTTGCCTTGCCTGGCATTGTTGGGCACCCCCAGCACTCACCAGCTTTTGCAGCTGCCTTGAGTGCAGCTGCAGAGGCAGCACCAGGGAAGGCTCCCCCAGGGAAGACACCTCCAGGGAAGAGGCCTGCAGCACCTGCAGGGAGAATAACCAGCATGAGCATCCCTAGAAAGCAGGAAGGTGTCCTGGTCCTGCGCTCCATGCTGGCCATGGTGGGCACAGGGGGTCGTGAGCCATGGGGGGCTGTGTGGAGGCTGGG